ATAGATATCTGAAGAATCAAAAAATGGAATCTTGTCATTTATGGTCTTTTGGATTTTATTAGCTATAGATTTGTTTTATTTACTTGTGGCCCACGGAAGCTCTGCTGCTGCTATAGGATGGGCTTTTTGGATATTATTTAGTAGGTTTTTTTTTCTTTACAAAATTAAAATTTTCATTTATATCTTTGTTTTATTATTGCAATAAATCACTTATTTTATAAATTCACTATTTTTTTTTTATTTTTTAGCCGTAATTCTTTTTATAGTAACAATAGTAAGTTTCTTTCTCATTTATATTATATTACTATTTTTTTTTTAAATCTATTTGACTAATAACTTGTAATGTTACATTGCAGGTGACTTTTGTATTTGCGATTCTAGCATTTAAAAATTTTGGCAAAGGGTTGCCAACATATGGTATGAACCTTTTTTTATTTTTAATCGCTTAGTATCTATTAGATATTATAATATTTTTCTGATATTTTTGATTTTAAAATCAAAGTTAATCATTTATCTCTACAAGAATATGAATCGTCTCTATTTTTACAGAAAGCGAAAGTCATTGATGCTGAAAATCATCGTGATTTGCGTACATGGCGTTCCGAAGAATGAAATGAAATTTTTTAAATGGACTTTTTTTTCAATATTGTAAAAATTAGTAACATCAAAGACACAGATATAGTTTTGAAAAATTTTTACTGTGCTTTTTTTTTTTAAGTTTTAAAGTTTAAATATGTATTTTTTTTTTTTTGATTAAAGTCAATTTTTGATAAATATTTAAATAAATTAAAAAGTGTTGCAAATGTTAATGATATTAAGCAGTACATGAAAAATTAATATTTAAAAGATAATAACAAATTTTTTGACGAAATTGTTAAAGAATTATATTTTCTACTATAAGCTGGAACTCCACTGGACATCCCGATTTTTCCAGTGTTCTAGTGGAAATCCCACTGAAATGACTTCCACTGAAATCATAGATTATTGACCATTAAAAATGCGTAAATAGTCAATATTCTGCAACTTAATTTTCCTCAATACTTTCATTTCATAAATTCGATACTTAAATAAATTTTAAATTTAAATATTAGCATAAATAAAAATAAGACAATGCCTACTTTAACCATGGAAATTTATTATTTCTACCATTTGGCCATAAATTATCATAATCATAAGTTATATGAAATACATGGGTTCGGAGAATTAGGACAAGTTTTTCTATAAAGTAAAATTTTTTAAATACTCGAAATTTATCACATGTTGTGAAATAATCTTGACAAATTAGGTAATATCAAGATAATTACGGGATGCCAAGTATAATTCTTTTACTGTATTGCTGTATTGTCACGAAATAACACGCAGGGTGAAATTAAAAATTTCGGCCTATATTAAGCTTAATTCGGGCTAAGCCTCTAAATAAAGTCCATGCCCGTTATTTCGCGACAATACGGTAAGTGTATTGCAACTTAATGAGACCAGATAATAATTTACGATAATAGGGGTTTTGTTATCATAAGTATTAAAATTCGTAAGAATATTTTAATGATGCAAGAGGAAGAAATACAGAAGAATTGAGTTCTTCACAGTGTTTAAGCACTGTTTTAATTGACAAATAGCATAATTGAAAACTTTGCCTTGCTTAAGCTATGGCTGCAATGTTAAACTGTTAAGTGAGTATTTTTTGATTATTTATTACTGTTTATTCCTTTGAGAATGAATTCATTTTTTGTAACAAATACTGACTTTAAGATTTTAATATTATGTTATAATTCACCATTGCATTAAAAGGTTGTGCATTTAGCACTGATCATTGATAGCTACAATTATAATAAATCACCCTATTAAATATAAAGGTACATTCAGAAAAATGAGAAAGAATGAAACATCCTACATTTTGTAGATTTTCTGAACGATAATTAAGACAATTATAGATATCAAATCGGCGTAATTTTGAATAATTAAATTATAATATCTTTACAGCAATTATTTGCTATAGTGTTATAGCTACATTAAGGAATTGATCATATGAGAGCTCCTTAAGGAATGGTGGATAGTCAAAAAAAAAAATAGGGTTAATAATCGACAATCCAATTCTTTCATTATATCCTAATTTTCGAAAAGTGTTTTGGGTTATTTTAGGAGATGGAATATATTTGTCATTAATTCTAAGGGTGCTTCTCATAATGTGAAGCTTTTGCAATAAAAAGGCCCATACTACTCCGGAAATCAAAAATGAGTTTTTGCAAGATTCGAATAAATTTTCAAGGCGAGCTACTCAATTACAAATGAAATTGATTTGCATAATAAAAACCGAGATATTTTAAAAAAATTTTTAGGAGACTCGTATATCACGATCAGCTCGAACAAAACAAACTATATTTTCTCGAAATTACATGTTTCCGAGTATCGCCTTTCAACTGTAAAGGCTCCATATCAGAATGGCATAAATAACCGGATCTTTATTAGTCGGAAGAAATCTAAAAATCGTATATCAAAATATTCTGGTGTAAACATTTATTTCATTATTAAAGTAATTATTCGAAGAATTTAGAAATGCTTGTAGCAATGATATTTTCAATTGAACTCACGTAAATCATTCCAAACTCAAAATTTTGAATTCCTTATTATTAATAAAAGTTAAGATATTATATTAATTTAGTCAACAAGTGTAGATATCGATAAATTTATTTGAATCAAATATTCAAACTTCTGCAAGTTTATTAAATGCAAGCATCAACTTTACACATTTAAAAAGTTTAAACAAGAATAAAAAATATATTCCATGAAACATTTATCAATCAATGCTGACGTTAATAATACTGCATTTTTTTCGAAATGAAATTAC